TATATGAAGTAGGATACTGATATGATTGTTTATGTGGAAAATGATTTATTAGTATGATATGGATCGTATGAAGTATGAAAATTGATTTGATATGTATTTTATATAGTTATGACATTATGTATTGAGAAATGAGTTGAAGATAAATGAATTTCTGGATATGAATTTCCCTATGATAATTTACGTTCGTCATTGAACGGTCCTTGACCGTTCGGTGTTCCTATTAAAATTGTTTAGAATTGAATTCTTTCATTTGGAAAGAATTCTAGTCGAGGACAAGCGTCTTCTTGTGATAGTACTGTACTTGAGCGTTCAGTCAAGCGTAGTTGCATCTGAGTATTCGGTGATAAATTAAAACCTTGTAAATATATGTATTTGTAGATAGTAGTTATTCTTAAACACAATTCCGACAATATCTCATTTATAAATCGTTCTATTTAAATTTTAGTTAGCTCTGGTCTCAACCAAGCTCTCGAAATGAGTGGTGCTCGGTATTATACCAATCGTGTACTCTTTTAATTATCAATCATAATTGAAATAACGTTGTCCCCAACTTCAGTGAATTCCCTTTTACGTGTTCGGTCATTGACTGGCATTGGGTTCTGTATATGAATTATTATAAGTATTGGTTTGAGCTCACGAGAGTCAGTTCATTTAACTGATTCATGTTGCAAGTAATGTTCGTCATATATTATATAATTGTATTTGGTTTATTCCTACGTCTAGTAGTAAACCTCTCGGTCTTATCCTATTCTGTAATGGGATACTTCTCAATCTCGTTCCTAGTATTCATCCTCGTTCTGAGTGAGGATTGAACGATCGTTAATTGATGTTCTTAGAATTGATGATAAAGATGAAATTAAAATGATGGATAATAAAAGATGAAGAGTATATGAGATGGATGAAAGGTTGTGAATTTTGAATGAGCGTTCTAGGGAGGAACGACTCATGTATGAATATTGGAATTTGTAAAGTATGACTGTGGTAATGTTAAGCTGTCGATTCATCCTGATGTTCCGTGAGTACTCGTCCTCATATAGAGAGGGGTAGGTCATGTGTGGGAACGGCAGGAGGTCCTAGTCCTTAGGGATACTTTGGACAGATAGGACTAACCTCGGGTGACAACTGATGAGAGTATTCCAGTTACTACACCACCCGGGTGCACGAACGTCGTAGCTACACAGATTTCATACAGTCCGGACAGTCAGTCTGTAGGATTTGTATGTTACGAATGTTGAATTTGCCTTGTGCATTTGATTGTTTGAAGTGTATGTGTATGCATGAATTAAATTACATAAGCTTACCCTGTGTTTTTCCTGTGTTATCTGGTTTTGTACGTCCGTCCTTGTCATTGCAATGATCATCCATGTGGATGTGAGCAGAAGGAGACGCGCTGTTGGAAGATGCGCTGGAAGAAGAAAATTTGTTAGAAGTGGAAGTGAAGACCGAGCAGTAGGAACGTTCGGTTAGCAGATGGTAGTTTTATTGTGAGGTGATCGTTCGGTCACCTCCTCTTTTGATTTTATCTGACCGTTCAGTAGGATCTTTTGTAAACCTTTCGGTCATGTTTTCCCTTATTGTGTACGGTTTAAATGAAAACCTTTATGTAAGGCCGTTCGGCCATGAACTTGCGTTGCTTAGTGTAAGACTGAACTGATATATTATTAAATTTAATTATTTCTAACATATGGTTTACTACTGTATTTTTGGGATGTTACAATTGTCTTGTTATTTATTTTATCTATTATTATTTTTATTATTTTTTACCTACTTGAATTATTTTAATAGAGTTTTATTTGCTACAATCATATATCCATGTTGTAATATTGACTTTAATCAAGATATAATCAGTTCATATAACTTTGATAATATGGTTATTTATGTAAGTAATTTGGTATAAATCAGTATATTAAATCAATTTTAGAATATTTATTATATTAGTTTTATAATTGATCTAATATTTATTTTAGTGCAATAGTAATGAGATGCATGGGTTAACACTGCAACATTGAGTATGAAGCTATCCTTGCGATGGTGGAATTTTAATGGACCAACATTGGTGATGAATAAAAAAATATTACATTGAAATAAAATGTGTTATAGCTTCAGAAAATAAGAAAAAAAAACTTTGTGAAAAGTAAAAAAAGGAATTTTGTATCTAATAAAAAGACTTATTAAATGGGTTGTTTTTTTTAATCAATATATATATTATATTATATTGATTTTCACTACAAAATTATTTAATATAATTTTTTTTATTTATAAAATTATTATCTTCAATTTAATTTAATAACTTGTTATAGTATGTTTATTTTTCACTAATATAAATATTGGAAGAAGACATGCATGCATCAACGTGCCAACGGAGGTCATCTTGTTAGGTGTAGGTGTAGGTGATATTGCTAGGTGTAGGTGTTGTCTGTATCCCTTTTTAACAACATACCACTTAAAAAAAAAGAAATGGTTGTCAAAAAAAAAAAAGTTAGAAAAAGAGTACTAGGTAGAAGTGTGGTCTCAATATTTCTGTATTTTTTTAATTTCTTTTAATAAATTTTATGTGATGGTTTATAACTCATAGACTTTGGAGTGTTGAAATGTCAACTTTTGAATTTTTTTTCATAATAATTTTTTTCCCTGCTTGGGTTTAGCCTATGTTAAAATTGCTTAGTGTGTTGTATCATTGAAAATCTGAACTTTTGTAGTTAACCCTAACTCTAAATTTGTTAGAATCTGTTATTCAAAAATTTTTATATTATTTCCTAATATCTACTTATTTAAGTTAATATTGATCTGTTTTAATTGTTTACAATCAATGTAGTAAAATTTAGTAGTACATCACTATACATAAAGTTATTTTTTTATTTTTATTTCTGAATATTGTATTTATAAAAATTATGAAATTAATATGTATTATTTTGTTGTTAATGTCAAGTTTCATAAATTTAATTGATTTTCATTTTATTTATTGTAACTTACTTTTCGTTTTAGTTTACTTTTTTTTGGTGAGTGTGACTTCTCAGTGGCATTTGAACCATGAATTAGATGCCATGGTCCTTCTGGGATCACATATGCATCACTAAGGTCCAACTAACTGCTGTTTTTTTTCTTTGACGTAACTTCCCATCTTAGGTTGTTTCTCTAAATTTTGTTACAATTTTTATGTTTTAATGCTTCCAATTTCATTATTGCAAATTCAAAAAATACTTTTAATTTACAAATACAAGATCTATATACAAAATTAAAATTACTAAAATACAAAAAAAAAATATTACTCTCAATTAAGAAAAATATGTATCAAAGCATACATAATGGGATATTGTTTTGTCTGGAAAATTAGTGGTGTTTTGTCTGTAAGATCGAAGTGCAGTGAAATCAAAATCATTTAGTGAAATAATTAATTAAGATAACTCTATGAGAATAAATTTCAGCTTATATTTATTTGTCTAATCTGAACCCGACTTTAATGAGAAAAAAAAATTGTTGTTTTGATTAAGATCATGTTGCCCTTAGATATTTTTTTAACTTGTGAGAGTGAAACTGAAATCATATTCAACCATACATAAATATACAATGATAATGATTAAAATAAAATATTTATATTTATGAAGAAAAATAAAAATTTAAACCTTTTATCAGTGAAAATCCATGCACATACATATATTTTTTTTATGAATATAAAAATGGATATATAATTAAAAATTTAAGTATTATAACAAAATTAATTAGAAATTATACACATAAAATGTACATATAATTTTTTCATTAATTTTTATAACATTATAATTATACAATAGAAATATTTATATATTTTTGTAAAAAAAATAAATTATTTTAATTTTATTTAAAAAATCATTATTAAATTATATACTAAATAAATTTCAATTTTTACATATAGTCTTTTTACATAATAGAAATTGAAACTACAAATCTTTGTGGAGGTAAAAAAATATTAAACAAAAAGACTAATCAAACATTATTTATCATACTCAACATATAATCATACTCAATACTTTATTTATCATGTTAAATTTAGTTTTTTCCTAGAGAATGATTAAGTATTAAATAAATATATGTATAGAGTTGGATGTTAAATAAATTGAATATTTAATACATTTATTGATGTTTTTAAGTTAATAAAATCAATATAGTATTAAATATTGAATTGATTTAATTGAAATATAAATATATTAAAAACATCTAAATTTTTTAGTCTAAAATTAAAATTATTATACCATCACCCTTTTTTACCAAACCAATATGATTTTTTTATTACATTATTAACACTTGGTGAACTCAATAATAGAATGAATGAGAAAATGAGAAATGATTAGATATAACAATCCGAACATTAACAAGGTGGACGTTTAGCCCGTTCTCTTTAGTTTAATAACACTCGGTAGTTTAGTAATAAAATAGATGAAAAACTATAATATATAATACAGCAGTGAATCGTATATCACATCCATATAGTCTTTTTGTTAACTTATTAAAAAATTGTTGAGTATAAAAAGGTAGTACTTTATAGACCAGTAACCTCTGTTATTTAATTATTCAAATACAATTCAAAATTATACTTTAATCTTTTCTTTTTCTTATAGTTCATGAATCTAACTATTTATTTGTACTAAAGATTCCAAACAGTATATTTTTTTTGTCAACAAATGTTTCAGTTTTTGATTGATAAATATTTTTTATATATTATTATTATTATAAAGTATTATTGATTTGGTGTGAAATTATGTATATGTCGATGGCAATTCTAGTCCACTAGAATCCTTGAGAGTCCCAGCCTATTCCAGTGTCTTCTACGTAGCACGCGGTCCTTACTCTATCCGGAACCTTCCCATAATAACTTTCAACCGTTAGATATTTCCCTAGGACACGTGCCAAACACAGATGCTTAGATTTCTTAAATTGCATGATCAAATGGAACCACAAATTGATCAAATCACATTAAGGTAAATCCTCAACACCCCTTCCATTTCTTTATATATCATCCCTTACCTCCTCCATCTTCCACCATCACAACTTCAATAATCCTCTTTGTTATTCTCTCACTCTCTCTCTCTCTCTAAGCACTTAACTTCTTTCTACCACTTTCACCAAACATGGCCCCTGAGCTTGTCCCCACCGTCACAAAATCCACTGCCTCCTTCACCAGCCCTACCACCCTGCCACCACGTGCTTATGTCACATTCCTTGCCGGAAATGGTGACTACGTAAAAGGGGTGGTTGGTCTTGCCAAAGGCTTGAGAAAGGTCAAAACAGCCTACCCACTGGTGGTGGCGGTCCTTCCTGACGTGCCAGAAGAGCACCGTAAGATTCTTAAATCTCAGGGCTGTATCGTCCGTGAGATTGAACCCGTTTACCCACCAGAAAATCAGACCCAGTTCGCTATGGCTTATTACGTCATCAACTATTCCAAGCTCCGTATATGGGAGGTAACGTAAATTATTACTATTATTATTATTTTTTTTTTCAGATAGAATTTATGATTATTAAAGTTTTATATACTTTAAAATAAAGTAAAAGTTTACTGGAATTGTATCATGGTTACTGCAGTTTGTAGAATACAATAAGATGATATACTTGGACGGAGACATTCAAGTGTTTGAGAATATAGACCACTTATTTGACCTACCTGACGGTCAGTTTTATGCTGTGATGGACTGTTTCTGCGAGAAGACATGGAGTCACACTCCTCAGTACAAGGTTGGGTATTGTCAGCAGTGTCCAGAAAAGGTGCAGTGGCCCACTGAATTGGGCCAGCCTCCTGCTCTTTATTTCAACGCCGGCATGTTCGTGTTTGAACCTAGCATGGCCACTTACCACGACTTACTGAAAAGGTTGAAAGTCACTACTCCCACATCGTTTGCAGAGCAGGACTTCTTGAACATGTACTTCAAGGACATTTATAAGCCAATTCCTCTGACCTACAACCTTGTTCTCGCCATGCTTTGGCGTCACCCAGAAAATGTTAACCTTGAGGAAGTCAAGGTTGTTCACTACTGTGCAGCGGTATGGGACTAAACATTGGTCTAACCTAACATATAATTTAATTAATGAATATACAGTCTAATTAATGAATATTTTGTTGTGAAATACTTTTAGGGGTCAAAGCCTTGGAGATATACTGGAAAAGAAGAAAATATGCAGAGAGAGGACATAAAGATGCTGGTGCGTAAATGGTGGGATATCTACAACGATGTTTCGCTTGATTACAAGCCATTAGGAGCAAGTGAAGCTTCAGTAGATGGTGTTGACATGGAACCATTGGGACATCTATCAAAGGTTGTTCAACGTGTTCTTGCTGCACCTTCAGCAGCTTAGGTTGAAATACATATCATGTTCAGGATCATATGGTGACGAAAACAAAGTAAAAGAAAATTAAAACAAGCCAAGATTTAAGGTCTAATTTCTTTCTTTTTCTTTTCCCTGTAGATGCAGGGAGTGATCGTGCATTGCTTTTGAAAGAACCTCGCCACCATCTTCATCTTCGATGTGCATTTTGTTTTCTAAAAGACCTTTTTTTTTTTCTCAACCTTTGTTTTTTTTTCTTTGATCCAGCTTCTGTTAAAAAGGAGGTGGGGTCTGTTCATAATTGTCTGGATCTGGTTTTTGTCCACACAATGTGTTAATTATGTATATTTCTGCTGTCACCCTTTTCTGCTGTCACCGTTTCTTGTATGGACATCGTCATTGTAATACTTTTAGGGCAATGCTTAATTATGAAGGCAAAATGATATGTCCATTTTTATGGTCAGAGAGCCTTGTCTGTTTCATGTGAAATTATAAAATGCTTTCAATGTGATCACTCCATTTAAAATATACATTGCTTGATGAAGTAAAAGAGATTCTGTAGTGAGGAATGGTTTGAAACCCTTCTTCTTAACAAAAGTGAAATGAATTGCGCAACTGACATCACGTTTCATCTGTCCCCCACCTTGAAGCAAGAGTTTAGTAGAACAAGAAGCAAGACAAGAGACACACAAATCTCTTGTAGCATACATGTGTACTCAAATCAAGATATTCAACTATGTTAAAATCTCAAATGTGAAATGAATCATAGTACTTATTATAAAATAATACTTATTATCTTAAAATAACTGTTATAAGAACTTACAATTTATTAGTGTAAAATGTGTTAGTTTTGGAATAGTTGATCATATTGTAAGGATGAGTTGTATGATAAAAGCATCATCTTCTCACTTTGCTAAATGTGAAATAGGAGTTGATGTTTCAAGAAAAAATCAAGATGACAAAACTCAAGAGTTGAGTTTCTCATATAAAAAAAATGTAGAAGACATTAATTTTTCTAGTGAGGAGTTCATGATCAGCTGAAGACAAGAATTCATGATCATGATTCTTTTTAAATTCTAATCTCAAACAATTCTTGTTTGTTCTTATAAGAAACATTAACTGGGTCAATTTTGATCCACGTATTCAATTTTCCATTAAAAGTTTAGATGATTCTGTTCTTAAACTTAAAAAACTCAATTATCTGATTCTGACCTAATTGATGTTTGTATATTATCTTTCTAAAAGTGGTCTTTGATTTTTTGCAAATTAACTTTTCTTTATTCATATTTTCATATATTTTGCAATATTCTTTGATGATGATGTACTTGAAGTTTAAGAGGACTTTATGCATGGACACCAAATAGTAAATTGTTTTACTGAAGAAAATTCTCATTCTATTAATAATGCTCTAAACTTTATATCTAGTACTTGACATTACAAGTATCTTTCAATTTATAAAGTATTTGTTATGCAAAAAAATTTCTCCTATATTGATTGCTATGAAATTTCTAAACCTTAAAATACTTTATCCAATTAAACAATTTTTTTTATGAGCAAATAATTATATAATTATACTAGAATATATGAGATGTTCTAACTCATTTACAAAGTATATACATACATTGTTCTTCATCTACGTTACATATTCAGTATTCTTATGCAAAACTTAACAATATGACACTTATAATGTATGTATTCAATATCTGTCATGGTTGTCAAATACGGAACATGAAAAAAACAAAGCTATTATAAACTCTTCAAAAAACTGGTTGCATCAATAGGTTCCTCTGTTTTCACAAACCTTGACAGCTCCCACCGTATAGATATGTCTTGCATTTATGATGGCATACTAATGGGGTATAATATGTTTTCCTGACCAATATTGTAATGATCGAAGTTTGCTTTTCCAGATGCAATGTTTCCATTTTTAGCATGTACCTTGGGCTTTTATTCTCTTCCTTTTGTTTTGCATCTATAGTTCTTTGTATGTTGTAGTTTAATTTATGCCTTGATCGTTCTAGAAAAACCTACATAAAAATTAGAACAAAAATTCAATAGATTACCAATTTTATGTTTGTTTATCCCTTTACAACCTACTAGGCCTTGATTGTCCTAATTTCCCTTCTTTTCTTCAATACATTTTCACTCAACCTATACTAGTTTACTCAATTACATCTCAAAACCCAATACTACTAGAAGATTATTTCCTTGTGGCCTTAAACCATACCCACGTCTCTCAACCATATTCATGTATATGTAATTGTTAAAACATATTGAAAGGTGGCTACTTTACCTTTCGGAAGACCAATTTTAGTACATGTCTAGTTCAATACATCTTGATCCCTTTAGCGTCTACTAATAACATTTTTTTTAATGAATGTAGCAACACATTTATCTTATTAACTTAAGGCAATATATGAGACTTATACACCGGTTGGAGTATGAAAATTTTGTATTGAAATGTTTATTCGTCATCCAACTCCATGGACTAAAATATCAACCTTATTCCCCTTAAATATAATATTTCTATGCATCATTATAATTCATATAATTGTTATCCACGTACACTTTCATCCTAAATTTTGTTTTTCATTTAATTCTATTAAGGTAAACTTTTGGAAATGTTTCTGTAATGAATTATGATTAACTATTTCATGTTCTACTCTACACTTATCACATGTACCATCTCCATTGTTAAACCCCTACAGTTTAAATTATTCTTAGTTACAACTTTATCTTAAAATCTTTCAAGCAAAATATTGAGTTGATGTTAATACTTTTACTTTCCAGAACCAACAAAATAAAGCATCCTTCTCCCCATAAATTTTGTTTGAAGGAGAGGATGAATAAACGGTAAGAATAAACTTAAATTTAGAAGTTATCAAATGATTATTAAGAATGACAATGTTTATTGCATTGATAGAAAAAGAGTGAAAAAGTTACTCTGTTATGTATTGTAATTACTATAGTGTGTTATTTGTAATAATTGGGAACATTATGACCTATAAATGAAATGCCTAATCTTAATCAACAAATTATAAGGTTTATGAGAAATGAAAATACACCAGAAACATATTCAGAAATATAGTGTCAATTTTTAACAAAATGGTATGAGAACTTAGAGAGAGACTGAGTGTCCAAGTGAGAAAGAGATAGTGAGAGAGATATGACCAGTCTAACAAATAAATAGTATGTCTTTACCTCACATCACATCAGTTTGATGTCAACACAATCCTTTTTACATAAACATTTCCATGAAAAAGTGTATATTCAAATCTAACAGAACTTAATTTAATTTGCTAACTTTAAAAATCCCTTCATGGTTTGAAATAAGCTGGGTGTCAGTAAAATGAAAAATCGCGACTATATTCTTTTCTCCATATGATTATGCACAATCAAAGATTCAAAGATTGATTATTCTGTTGTTCTTGTATATGTAATTAATAATCATTGTAGGAGATGATTTGGATGTAATACTCTTACAAAAAAAAGACTTGGAAAATTGAAATATGTTTTAAAAGTTGATTTGGCCACATCAAGCTGAGGGATTTTTTAAAAACATCCTTCAAGAAGTTGATCAACTTGCTTCAAAATCAAGCCTCAAACCAAGGAATCATGTGATAAAATTACATAAAAAGTTTAGACAACCTATTTTAAATCCTTCTTCATATATAAGACTTATTATTGAAAGACTTTATACTTGGTATCTCCTTTGCAGTAAATAATCTGAGTGAATACCTTAACTGTCTTGTAAATGTTTATTAAAATGCAGTCATAAGAGTTCTCAAATACACTCAATAAACAATAGGTAAAGAATTGTTTTTTCATAGCAAAAGACTGAAAGTAAAATAAAAGATTTCACATACTCCCATTAAGCATTATTTGTTGACATCAGAAAATCTGTGACTAACTATTGCTTCTTCATTGAATTTATTAATACAGAGGAATGACTCTGTCTAAGATGTAATATATTTTGTTTATTATATTTTAGGTAAATATATATTTAATTTATAATTAATTTTTTAAATATATATTTTATATTATTTGTTACTTAATTAATTTTTTTAATTGATCTCATTCATTGATTTAAAATAAATACAATAAAAAAACTAATTAGATAACAAATAATATAAAACATATATTTAGAAAACTAATTATAAACTAAATATATGTTTACTTAAAATACAATAACAAAATATATTTACATATATCTTAACATACTCAAACAATTTGTAACATACAATAAATTTCTTATCTTTAACAAAATTTCTCTATTAAACATGATGATTCTAATTTATTATATTATGATAATAAATATGATCTACACTAATACTTATTTTTTCATGAGAAAACTAAATACATGAAGATAGATTGTCATGTTGTAATTGATAAAGTACATTAAAAACTCTTATATTTCATATCTATATCTTCCTTATCTCAAGTAGCACTCATAACATTCTATTCCTCGTCCAATCAAAGAGCTTCAGTCCAAACTCCACGAAATTAATCTTTATATTCCACATTATAAAAAAATGTTAAATGAAACTTTATAAATTTGTTGATACAGTAAACAATATTGTAACATAAGTGGCCACGTACTGTGTGGACACATACATGTTTATATATAAACAAAAACAAGTAACAATATATTTATCACATCAACAAATTTTAACATTGTTTGATAATAAAGACTATATCTATTGACTTTAAAATTTGAAAACCAAACTATATTAAAATTTGAGATATAGACAATATATAATTAGAAACTAAAATTTATTTAATCATACTATTTTATGGGTAAAGAGATCTTATAGTATCTTTTAGTAAGGTTTCTCTATTATAGTGTTCAATACATTAAAAGAGAATTATTAAATAATAACTAATTTTAGTAAAAAAAATGTTTAGAAAGATCAATTTCCTAATTACAGACCAATTTAAATATAATTTTTTTTATCTTTAGAACTTTGACAGTTACTAACCAATTTAAAAATCAATTCATAATAAATATTAATTTAATTATCAGTTTAAAAATGAATTATAACTTTTTATTTATAGTAAAAATCATTTTAATTAATTATAATTTTTAGTTTATAAATTAATATCTAAATAATTATTATAAGGTCAAATTATTTTTAATCATTAAAATTTGTCATTATACAGAAAGTTTCTTAGGTTTGCTAACGTTGCGTACGCCTGTTTTTCAGTTGGTACATTTTAGCAATGTGTACCGGATTTTAATAGACAAAAATATCTTATATATTTTGAATTCTAAGTTTTAAGGTTAGGGGTATTTTAATAATTTTTCATTCTCAAAACTAAAAAAAAAGAAACTCCTAAACGCTTGCTCACCTTCCTCATTCCTCTCAACCCTTTCTCTTTCATTTCTCTCAGTCCAACATTTTCTCTGTCATCCTTATGTTAGTCCCAATTAAAAAAAATCAGAAACACTCGCCTAACCCTAAT